CTCCCAATAGATCAGCCCCACTGTCTCAGTGGGTGGGTGCACCCCCCGTGGTCCTGACATCCTTGCTCGTGTTCTCCCTCCATCTGCTTCTCATTGGGACCTTGGGAGCTCAGTCCAGTGCTCCAGTGTGGGTCTCTGTCTCTATCTCCATCCATCACCAGATGAAGGTTCTATGGTGATATGAAAGATATTCGTCAGTAATGCTATAGGATAGGGTCAGTTCAGGTTCCCTATCCTCAGTTTCCCAAGGGACTAACTGGGGACATCGCCTTGGGCTCCTGGGAGCCACTCTAGGTTCAAGTCTCTTGCCAACACTAAGGTGGCTCTTTTAACTAAGATATGTGCTTCCCTGCTCCCCTATCCGACCTTCCTTTATCCCAATCTTCCTGTTTCCCCAAGTTCCCCCAATCCTCCCCTTCTTACTTTTCTCTCCCTGTCCCCCCTTATCCCAAAATAGTCTGTCAAATATGCTAGGCTTGTAACCTGAATATGCATGCCCTAACATTGCAAAGGAACTTTGGGAGATTGTCCAGGCAGCCAGCGGTTTCTGTCATTACTCATATTTTTTGGAAGTTGCTTGCTTACTCAGTTAATATTATTTTCTTCTTGGGTCTCTGAGGGAGTTCAAGATTAGATAGTTATAGTTTACCAGACACAGAAAGTAAATTATGATAGAAAGTGAATTAGGTATAAGATTTTGGACTCACCAAGATAAGATAGATACAAAATATTTTCTCTAAATTTGTCAAATACAAATGGACTAGACATTGTTGACGTATTTATTGCTTGTATATATGATATATAGTCATTGTATTAATTGTATATAGTTTCTTACATTAGTTATAGCCCTTTTTTAGACAAAAAGGGGAAATGTAATGCCACTAAAGTTATATTTTAATAAATGGAGACTGCCTGAAAATCTGAGAGTGAAACAGTCCCACTGCTTAGCTTTACAGACCAGATTATGGTAACACACACCTTTAATACCATTAGCCACATTGACATACACTTTTAATTGCAATAGCCACAATGATATGCACCTTTAATCATAGTAGCCACAATGACACACACCTTTAATCCTAGTAGCCACCCTAGTTGCCATAGAAATTGGATGGTATATGCCTTTAATCCCAGTGGCACACACCTTTAATTGAAGCCCTAGAGAGGAATATAAGAGGTCGTGAGACAGGTCTTAGACACAGTTTCCTTCTGAGTGAGTTTCTAGAAATCAAGATTTCCATTTTTTGCCTGAATAAGGTTTAACACCATATCAATATAATTCAATATAACATCTTATGCAGGAACTTAATATATCAGACATTTTTTCTGAACTTAGCACTCACATCAGATAAAATCCACAGTTCCCAGGAACCAGAGAGGAATGTGGTAATAAGGTCTACACTGTCTTCACCTTTCCTCACATTCATGCATCTAAAGTCAGTCAATGGGTGTGAGAGAACCCATCTCTGCAGGTCTTTGTTCTTGAGGACAAATTCCACTGATGTCTGGAATACTTTGAGGCACCTTTTGTATGGGGGATGGGGAAAAAATCCTGGTATCATTTTGTGCTCTATTTCCTGTCTGGTTTGAAAGTCTCAATGACTTTGACTGTTGCTCACCACACCTCTATGACTCACTTAGTGCACATACAACAAGATTCAGAGCAGGAATTGAGTCTTACTCAAAGCTACCTACATTGACAGTGACACAAACCCTCTCTTTGCTCTCTCTGCCCATATAAGATATTCTTGTTATTGCTTTGGCCAGTTCTCACACTCTGAACACTGATCCTTCCTTTAGCTCATCAATCATATAGTTAGTTGTCTGAGGAGCATGATTGCAGCTGAGAAAAACAATGAAGTGAGAGATATAACTAAAACAGATTCTAACTAACAACTTTCTCGAGACAGTTTTGATGACTCCTTTCTTCACTTTGCAGTTCTATTTCATCACTGTGTTCCAAATATGACATCCACATATCTTAAGAGACTAAAGAAACAGAAGTATATAACCCACTGTAAGGTGATCTGTTGTTATCATATGAAATATTTCATGTATTCATGATTGATAAAAACCAGAACCATTGAATGAAGCTTCAGAGAGCACCATGGTGAACATGCTAAGTGAGGTGACCTTTACAGTACTTTACCTTACAAAGTAATAAATTGAGATACTTATGGTGGCACAAACCTGTAATCCCAGAACTCAGGATGCTAAATCAGGAAGATCATGAACTTTAGGCCATTGTAAGCTCCAAAATAAAATCTTATCTCAAAATACATAAATTAATGAGCATAAATACAGGAAGGCAACAAATGAGACAGCTAACCGATCAAAGGGATAAACTACAAATGAGAGAAAATCTTCTGAACTATTCATCTGACAGGGGGTTGAACTAGTACACAGTAAAATAATCAAACAAAAATTGAGCTATGGAACTGAACAGAGAGTTCTCAAAAGAAGAAATGCAAATGGCTGATAAATAAGGCATTGAACTTTCTTAGTTGTCAACAAGCTGGAAGTTAATCTAATGTGGTACTTCAGCTCACCCCATTCAGAATACTATCATCTCATAATCAAATGACAGCAAATGCTGGTAAAGATGTTGGGAAATAGGACGTCTTCATTCACCCTAGGTAGAAGGAAAAACTGATGTAACAACTCTGGAAAACAGTGTGAAGCATTCTCAGAAATCTGAATGAGGACTTCTTGTAGGGTCCAGCTATGTAATTCCTGGATATATATCTGAAGGATACTTTATCTGACTACAGAGATACTTGCCCAACCATGTTTGTTGCTGTTCTAGTCAAAATTTCTAGGAAATTAAGTCATCCTATATAATCATCAACAAAAGAATGGATAATGACATTCTGGTGAAGAATATATATATATATATATATATATATATATATATATATATATATATATATACATATATATGTGTGTGTGTGTGTGTGTGTGTGTGTCAAAAAATGAAGTGGTAAACAGTGCCTTGAGGAACTGTGAGAGAGGCTCCAGGAAAAAGAGAGAAGGCCTTTTCCCTCAAGTGCATTTTGTTGACTGGATTGTACTTGGACATGATTTCCTGCCTACTATGTTAAATATTTACACTCGGTTTATAAGACATGTTTGCATCTTATATAGCTATAGAACCCAGTCCGGTCAGTGTACCCTGAATGAATATGGACATGGTCTTCTACCTTACTTTGATTCTTTCCCAGTCTACTCTATAGTACATGCCAGGAAATAGTGTTTAAATTGGTCTGTACTGAGAACGTTCTGGGAAAGAACAGCCCTGTTAATATTTACCAGGGATTTACAGATGTTTATTTAGATGTTTTTCTTATCACGTTTTCCTAACCTCAAACAACCTTGACTGGGTCATTGCTTTCTTTGCTATGTTTTTGTATAAAAGTAAAATGAAACTGAAGTAAGGTAGTCTACAGCATTAGACTGTAGTCCAACCTATTCTTTCCAGTTCTGAAACCCCAGGTCCAACAGACAAGATCTGCACAGGTCGACTAAAAAGGCAGCAATATACACATACATATGAAAAGTATTCATTGATTAAGAAAAAATAAATAATAAAATTTGCATGAAAATGGATGCAGTTGGAAAATATTATAGTTGAGTTATGCTACTTTCAGAAACAAACACATGCAAATCCTACCTTGCACATTTTATTTGTATGTATTCATGTGACTCTGAGTATGTATAGATCCCAGGAAGCTAGACAGATGCCCACAGGAGGGAAAGGACTTTAGGAAAGATGAGTGTGAAGATAACAGAACACATGATATGAAAGTAGTAGGGGTGGTACTGGGAGCAAGAAGATTTCAGTAAGAATGGGGACTAGAGAGATGGTGGAGAGGGTAAGCTTGGGCCAGGCTCAACCAAAATAAATATATTAGAAATTGCAATAGAGAAAGGAGGTACTTTATAAGCAAGTTTTTCAAAATTACAAAATAAATATCTTTTTAATGGAAATATTTTAAAAAGCAAGCAAATCACAATGCTGTAGAGGTGATGGTGGGCTTTATGACATGACAGGAGGTGAGACTCAAGGCCACATGCAAGTCTTCCAGCCCAACAAGATAGGCACATACAGAGTGTGTACATTGTTGTAGAACCATCAACATCAGAGAAGTGAAGAGTGGAAAATACTTCACTCAAATCAATAGTGTATCTTTCCATCTAGGACTTGTTATTTTCAAAATGTCAAAATCCTTTCCTGTTGTAATATGGGTGTGGGTTCCTACAGGTCTGTGAGATGAAGACACAACTCACCTTTAAGATGTTGCTAGTCTTTCAGATTCAGGAAGAATCAGCAACTCTAGGGACTGAGACACCTTCCCTAAGCCAAGGGAATTTTTCTTGTTCTCCATAATTACTCCTAAGCAAGTTGATTTCCATATCCTCAAAACTGGACCTGACTGGACCTCCAAAGAAACAATGCCTAATACAAATAAAAGATTTAGGAATAATACAATTTGTCAGATTTTTCCCAAACTAGTTTTGCATATGCTTTGTAACCTTGGGAAGGGCTCAGACAAGATTCACATAGAGGGCAACCAAAAAAAGAAAAGGTAGCCAAGAAAAAGAGATGGATTAGGGCACTCTGGAGCCAGATCAGGTGTAACCCAGTGAGAGCTCTTCCACACTTTCCCAATCAATCAAGTCTTCTCTACTCTTGCTCTTAATTACCATGGCTTATAGGATTAAAAGAGAATTCTGCACCCTGTGATCTGTTCTTTAACTAAGGTCTTGACACGTCCCACTAAGTTTGGGTGCAGGTTGCAGGTGCCTGGGGAGTACTGTGTGTTTCCTGCACAGAGGTAGACAGCTGAGTCACTGGACTGGGAGTCTCTGATGTGCAAGGAAATATGCAGGCTGTCTTTGTTGAGCTGAACTGTGAATCTGCCTTCTTTCTTTTCACCATTAGAGGAGATGGACACCAGCAACATGGGGCCTTTCTTGGGATGCTGTCTGTACCACCAGAAGTACTGAAAATTACGGTCACTGAAAGTACAGTTGAGAGAGGTCATGGCTCCCTCTGAGACACTGAGGGATTCTGGGTTCTGTTGCACTTTCTGCTGGCTGTTCACTCCTAGGTAGAGAGACAAAGGTCAGACAAATAGGACTGGATGCTAATACCCCAGAATGCCTTTTCCATGGGCCTCCCACCTGCTTTTGTTTCAATATGAGAACAATATTTCTAACCTTCCATCTAAAATATGGGAGGGCAATGCCCTCCCATATTGTATTGTTATGTTCCCATAGCAATGGTCAAATTCACCCCTCAGTTGAAGCCAGAGTACCACTAGTGAAACACTTAAGGGATGCATCATTGTTTTCACTGAAGATTCACTCTTCAACAGTAACAAAAGGACTGGCATTCAGGGAGTTGAAATTCTTCTGCTGTGAGATGTTTTTAAAAAAAACCCAAGCTGTTCATCCAATTAGAAAGAAGGTCCTAGTTTTCACAGCTACCTCAGAATCTCTCTTCTTCCCTCTAGCCACACCCACAACACACAGACACAAAGAACCTTGTGAGAAATTGCCTCTGGGTCTCTGAGAAGATGCTGCCCTCCTGTGGATTCACCTTAGTGCCAAAGAAATATTTTAACTGCAGACTCTTCTTATATGAACTACTAAAACAAGCAATAGTTTAGTCAGATGAGAAGACTGAAACATTTGTTCAAGTTTAAGCAAACACTTTTTACCAAATGACAACTTGTTTTCCACAAATAAAAGTTATTTCACTAGTCAGTTTTTCTGTAATATTTCTGAAGAACCTCTCACAATCAAAGAGTTTATGTCCTTTATCTCTTCTTGGTATCAGCTCATACACCGCTATATTGTTCCTTCATCATCAATGTTTATAAAAATTTTCCAGAATTAAAAATATCTGTGAGTTCGAGGCCAGGCTGGTCTAGAAGAGCTAGTTCCAGGACAGGAACCAAAAAGCTACGGAGAAACCCTGTCTCAAAAACTGGTCTTGCTGAACATAGCAGACAATGAGGACTACTGAGACCTCAAGAACAGTGGCAATAGGTTTTTGATCCTACTGCACCTATTGGTTTTGTGGGAGCCTAGGCAGTTTGGATGCTCACCTTACTAGACCTGGATGGAGGTGGGCGGTCCTCGGACTTCCCACAGGGCAGGGAACCCTGATTGCTCTTTGG